TTATTAATAATAATATTATCATCATCATTATTATTAGGATTATTATGTTTACCTTTATGATTATCATATTCATCATTATTATGTCATGTCCTATTCTTCTTTCCATTCGCTCACACAATCCAGAAATTAACCCATGCGTGGGGGATACATCAGCGTGTAGCGTGCACAGCACGTGCGAACACACCGGCCCGGGACAACACACATGTGTGTGTAATCCCAACTACACAGGTGATGGCAGAATGTGTGCACCTATCGACCCCTGTGATACGGACAATGGCGGTTGTGAAGAAGGAACCGTCTGCAAGTATTTGGCACCAAACCAGGTAAAAAAAAAAAGAAGAAGGTTAAAAGTAACATATTATATAATATATAACCATCCACCTAGCCCGCCCTGAAATAATATTAATAATAATAATAATAATAATAATAATAATAATAATAATAATAATAATAATACAGCATTTGTATAGCGCAATTTCCCGGTGAACAGCAAGCCCTATATGTGCTTTACAATCTATATCATCTATACCCTCGTGCGCAAAGACGCCATACCTCGATATTCCCTGCTCCTGTGAGACATAGCACCTACCCTACTTAGTATGACCCCCAAGGTGATCCCGGATCTGCTCTTTAGGTCAAGTAAAATCAAGATGGGAAAACTGGGGGGGGGGGGCGCACTTTATTTTTTTTCCATATTTATTTAGGCCTACTTTGGGAACACCTTTTCGAGGTAAAAATAGCCACAGAAGTTTTTTTAGAGCTGAATTTAGAGTGTTGTGCTACTTAAGATGTGTTTGTATTATTTGTAAAGTAGCTGAATCAGTTTTACTTTCTTACTCAATGTTAGCGCTTTTTATCACTCGATTTGAGCACGATGCATTTTCTGTCCTTTTCCTACTTCTGAGGATTCCTGAAAAGAGGCATGTTGACAATTATTATAGTCTTCCGTTTACTACCTTTCTATGTCTGCAGCAGTAGGTTTATCTAGAATCAAATAAGACTTCATCCTCAAAATGAGTGGCTTCTATGTACTTTTCCAGAGTAATATATTCTGGCTTTCCTTCCAGTAATGTAGCCAGGGATAACAGGGTGATAAGCGCAATGAGGCTAGAGGAAGAGGAAGAGGAGGG